TATTCATAAAGCTCCGCAGATTACAAGTTTGCTCTGAGTGGATCTAAAGTTGATCATCGTTGATTACATTTTTTATGTTGATGATTCGCTGATTAGGGATTAGTAAGGCTTATTATCACAACACTTCAGCAGATTCATAAGTGCTCTGATGCCGTCTTCAAAAGTATCCCAATTGGTGAGTAGCAGGAATAGTAATAGTAGCAACATCAACCATCTCAGTATTTACAAAAGTAATGTCATCTTAGGCAAAGATTAAACAGCCTAAAAAGTCTATGGTTAAGCACCAGCAAGGATATCAAAATTAGAATTTTGAGAGCATGCATCTTTCCTGTAGCAACAAACGGGTGAGAGTCGTGGACTATCTCCCAGTCCTTGAGAAAGAGATTAGGGGTTTTGATCTGAAATGCTATAGAAAGATTCTCAAAATATCTTGGACAAAGAAGAGGAGAAATACTGACATCTTGAAAGATCTGAACATCAAGGAAGATTGGCTAATAAACAGCAAACTGTCTCGGAAACTGAAATATTTTCGAGACTTAGCTCAGGTTAAACGTTAATTCCAAGGAATATGTGAATCTTACATTGTCACATTCATCGGGTCTCCTGAGATTCCCCGTGATTGGTCTACTGATGCATGAACCCCATACATTTCTGCTAGACATATATACAAAAGTCTACACTGAAGATAAATAAATGACACACAACAATAGTGAAAATTGGAATGATTCACTTTGCTAATGTAAACTGTTTTCTGTCAAATCTTCGTAAAGACATCGGCCAGCTCTGGGGGAGTGTGTTGGTGCATTTGCCGGCTGTTTTCCAGTTGCCTTCCTTGAACCAGAAAAGAACAAGTTCAACAAACATTCCATTCTCTTTGGTTTGGAGGGAAAGATTTCTGAGCATTCACTAGAAGCTCAAGGTAGGTACAGAAATGTGTATCACTCCTTGACTGATACCAAACAAAGCCCTCATTTTAGGGAATAGCAGGAATAGTCAGATTTATTTTTCTGGCAATATGCAACAGTAGACAGTTCCGGCACCTTTTTCTGTTTAAAGGCAAATTATTTTACAGCACTGTTGTAAGACACATTCTGGCAAGTACTGGCACATTTTATAGACACTTTGTGGTGTGTACCAGTATCTTTTGTTTTTTCTAGGGGAAAAAACCTGGCAAATGGTAACAGTAGCAACAGCAACGATAGCAGGATTTGCACAGATAATATCCTTTTCACTGCATCTGGGTTATAATTTTCACATAAAGTGTGAACACATAATAGATGTTATCAGACAGACACCGTGCAGCAAATGGATTGGGAAACAGAAGATCAAATGGTTTGGTCATAAATAAGAATGCGGCCAGAACAACTACCAACGAAGCAAGAGGCTGCCCTAATAGGGCATGGACGGATGACATCAAAGACCTTCAGCATCGACATGGAATGACAGAAGCCAGTGCAAGTAATGAAGCACAAACTGTTCTTCCCCATGTGAATTAACGGCAGAAGAGGAAACTGATGAAGATGAAGATGTAGTTTATAAATTATGTAGAAGATGTATAGATGTGATTTTATATAAGAATTATAGAAAAACTACTAAAATATTTTGTTTTTTAAGTTGAAGTTTAAAAAAAAAAAGTTAAGAGTGTCTTTAAAAGAATTAACACCCAAAGATAATATGGATCCCTCCATGCTTTTTCATAGCATTGCATAATGAAAACATCCGAGCTATGTCTCAGTTCTGTTGCATTCGGTATTGGTGCTTTTTTTGTTGTTGCTAGAGTCACATGGTAATTTTGTTTTTTCTTTCTTGCATTCGTTTTTGATAGAGGTGATGGATCAGTTGAAAGAGAATGTCCCAACCTTGGAGAAGATTGTCACAGAGATAGAAGGACTTGCTCATTCAGGCGGGAAGTATCATGAGGCACCTCATATCATTGAAGTCACACTGCCTATGGTTTGCAGGTCAGTTGGATGTTTTGGGGGAGCAGTTTTTCTTATGTTTTTGTGGTGTTGAAAGGAAATGAGGGATGTTAAAAATTAAAAACAAACATGAAATATTTTGGCCACATAAACTCTTCTAGTACCAGAGGACAGACATCTAAAGTAGATACAAAGGGGTGTCAAAAACCGTTAAGGTGTGATAGAAATTACAATAATAATGTATGATGGTGCAATCCTGTAAGGCCGGCTAGTGTACGAGTAAAGTAGGAAGTAGATCCTGCATCTAAAGTAGATACAAAGGGGTGTCAAAAACCGTTAAAGTGTGATAGAAATTACAATAATAATGTATGATGATGCACACCTGTAAGGCCGGCAAGTGTACGAGTAAAGTAGGAAGTTTCAGACTGGTCATGGCTTCTGCAGCAGCCTGTTCCAGACTGAGTTAGGCATCCTTTGGATATTTTCTCCATGTCGTGCCGGTGTGTTGGAAAATGAGCAGGCAGATATGTTGGCCGGCTCTGCACCACTTGGTGGTGAATTGATGTATGACAAGCTAGATATTGTGAGGGTCCTTTGGGAACGAGTGAACAGTGCAGATGTGCAGCAAGATCATTATGGTCTGAGGAGAATGGTGCTGGGAGGAGATGTGGGGATGTGGCCAACGCTTAATACTCAGGAAAAGGATGAGATGGGTATACAATCAGACAGCTACTGGTAGCCATCGGAAATGGAAATCTTTGCTTAATGCAGAAGATGGGGACAGAGCACTTATGAGAGTGTCCTGATTGCTGTGATGTCAATTCTTAATTCAACATTCAACAACAACATTTAAAATTCCGGACTGGGTTAGGCACACAAAGTAGGGACCCCCAGAGTTGACTACAGCCACTAAAGGCCTCAGTTGGGAAAACTGCTGATTGTCTTTGAATAAAATTGCACACATCTCACCTACGTTCACCATTAGTGCAGTGCTCGAACTCCGTAGCACCGGCAAGGATTCTGAAATACTTTGGGTAGATTTTTAACTCAAAATTTTTGCCCAACAATGCCGTTAGGCTACTCTTTTCGATTTCCAACTGCCAAGGGATTTTTTTTAACGTGCACAATACACACGGGCATCCAATCTTACTACCCAGAGTTAAGGGAAATTACTCGAAGTTCACATGAAATAATCCCAGCCTTCACCGGGGCCTGAACCCAGGACCTCCAGCACTCGAGGCTGACGCCTTGGGACCATGCAGCCCCCTCATGTAAATCAGTGTATATTGCTGCTATTTATAAAAAGAGATTTTTGTGGTGTTTGTGGTTGAAAGGGAGGAACAAATGACACATTATAAATTCTGTGCCATCTCTCTATGGTAAATTACAGGTAGAAGATGTTAAGGTTGGCCTCTGCTATGATAAAAATATGTGTGCAAGTGGGATTTAAATGATACAGGTAGTGAGGTAGAATTTTGAGAAGAAAAGCCTAATGACTGTGTTACACAGAGGCAGAAAGCGAAGAAAGAATGGAAATAAAGAAAAGAAAGGATTGCAGATAGGTTGATAGTCGAGAAGTAGAGGCCTGTTAAATACATTGATGGCAACAACTGTCCTGAAATCTCATGCTCTGATTGGAGATGACCTTTCATAAGACAGGCAAGTCTTTCTTGTCGCATTCATTATCACCATGGATTGTGAGTCCCATGCCTCCCCTTATCACAATTTGACACTGTCGCCTGGAAAGTTAAAAGGGTGTCAGTGATGTCTCCACATTGGAGGTTAGCTACTGTGTACCCACTGTTGTTTTTGGGATTGTTAAATGGTGAAGCCCCAATCTCTTCCAAGGTGCAACTCTCATACCACAGTCTGAAAGCAATAAAGAGAAGGTTTTTCCAGATTACCTGCCATTAAAAACAAAACCTGGTACAGCGAGGACTGAAATGCACAACTTTTCGGTAACTTCTGAGCCAGGCTATTCAAATATGGTTTGCAGAGGCCTAGTAAGTGGCCCATGGATCATTGCCAGTTGTACTGTATTACTGATCTTTCTCTGCTGATAATCAGGTCTCTGGGCAATGATCAGGTCTCTAGGCAATAATCAGGTCTCTGGGCAATAATCAGGTCTCTAGGCAATAATCAGGTCTCTAGGCAATAATCAATCAGGTCTCTGGGCAATGATCAGGTCTCTAGGCAATAATCAATCAGGTCTCTGGGCAATAATCAGGTCTCTAGGCAATAATCAGGTCTCTAGGCAATAATCAGGTCTCTGGGCAATAATCAGGTCTCTGGGTAATAATCAGGTCTCTGGGCAATAATCAGGTCTCTGGGCAATAATCAGGTCTCTGGGTAATAATCAGGTCTCTGGGCAATAATCAATCAGGTCTCTAGGCAATAATCAGGTCTCTGGGTAATAATCAGGTCTCTAGGCAATAATCAGGTCTCTGGGCAATAATCAGGTCTCTGGGCAATAATCAGGTCTCTGGGTAATGATCAGGTCTCTGGGCAATGATCAGGTCTCTGGGCAATAATCAATCAGGTCTCTAGGCAATAATCAGGTCTCTGGGCAATAATCAGGTCTCTGGGCAATAATCAGGTCTCTGGGCAATGATCAGGTCTCTGGGCAATAATCAGGTCTCTGGGCAATAATCAGGTCTCTGGGCAATAATCAGGTCTCTGGGCAATAATCAGGTCTCTGGGCAATAATCAGGTCTCTGGGCAATAATCAGGTCTCTGGGCAATAATCAGGTCTCTGGGCAATAATCAGGTCTCTGGGCAATGATCATCCCCCATTTTCAAAAATTTGGTTGTTGAATAAACTAAGTTAAATAGGTCTGCTCTAAGCCAAAGAGCAGCACAGGGACATACAAAATGTTTCTTTAAATTGGAAGAGCTACAGTGTGTGTGGTTACTCACTTTGATTAGGTCTTAAAGAATCTATGCTGTATTTAATGTGTGAGTAGTTTCTCAGTTTTGTCAGAGAACTAAGAAATATTCCTTGAGTAGAGACTTCAGTGTTCATTGTGTGTGTGGTTTCTCACTTTTATCAAAAGTTCAAGGGTTTATTTGTGTATTTTGCAGCTACCTTCCATACTGGCTGAAGTATGGTCCTGATGGTACACATCCTGACAGGTAATTGTATTGTATTATAATAGTTTTTGAGATTGCTTTTTGATGTTGATCTTTCTTAAATAAATTAATTTTCAGACCACCATTTAAATAGATTTAATATACTGTAGATTAATTTATGCATTTGCATCTTTCCTGTGAAATTATGCAGGTAAAATTATGGACATATTTGCCGTCATTATTGGAAAACAAAATGAAGTTTTCGAACATGCATGTTAAGAAAAATCATAGAATGTCAGGAATAAAAAAGAAGAGAATTACTGACATTCTACAAAATCTGACCACATAGGAGAAACAGCTCATAAACAGCTCCATCACTGAAATTGTGTAAAAAGAACTAAAGAATTTCAAGGACCAAGATCTGTGAACAGACATTAATGCCTGTGCCATTTGGCAAGGTATGTGATAATAATTATGAATGCTCACAAAATTTCATTGGATAATGGAGCAGCTGGCCGAATGGTTAAGAAAGCAGGGCTCTCATGCCTTAGACATAGGTTCAAATACGTGGTAAGGTTTTTTTTTTGGTCTGGGTCAAAAATGAAATCCTAACCTGCACTGTTCATGGTGACAGCTCGAGCCATGCGGCCCTAAATCCTTAGGCTTAAAAAATGCAGGCAGTAAGAACAATTTATTTGTTTTGAACTTATTCTTGCAAAAATCAAAGAATTAGTGGGAAGTAAGTAATTCATTGTTGTCATCATCGTCCTGTGTGTGCCGTTAGATGGCACTTAGAGCTCACATTTGATTTCTCCATTGCCCTCTGTTGTATGCAACTTTGTCTATTTCTGACATGGAGTTCAGCCCAGCATTTTTGGCCTTTCGTAATAGTGTTCTTCTTAACCTTTCCCTTGAACATCTTCTTTTTCTCAGACCATTTGTTTCCCTTTGCAGAGCTTGTTTTGTAACTTTTTACACATTGCCTCTGAGAGTGTGCCCAATATATCTCCACCTTCTTTGTCTTATTGCAGTCACTACAGATATTTATCCAGAAATTTCTCCGATCTCCTCATTCTTTTTATATTCATCCCATTCTATGTTCATAAATTTTCTCAGACATTTACTTTCAAATGAATTTAACTTTTGCTCCATATCTTTGGTGGTTCTTCGCTGACATATGATAGAACTGAGATAACGTTAAAATTGAAGATTCGTAGTTTGGTCTTAAAGATGTATAACTTGGAGCTCAATATTTTGTTAAGGCTTTTGAAGACTTATGTTGGTTTGCCAGTGCATATCATAGTTTCCTTTGAATCTCCTTCAGAGTCAAAATTGCTACTCTGATGAAATGGTCTGTTACTTTTTTTGGTTTGTAATAAGTAATTGACTGTCAAAATAAAGTTTGTTTGTTCATTCGTTCGAGCAACGTCTGTGGCTCAGGGGTTGCGAGTTAAACTCGTAATTCCAACGTACTGTGATCAAAACCCACTGCTGGCTGTGTGGATTTTTATCATGGTGTGGGGCGTGGCAGGTCGACCCAGCCTAAAATGGGTACCAGGATAGCTGTCCTGGTGAAGTAAAGACGGCTGGCGTAATGCTGACCACATTACCCACCTAGTGCCGATGGTCTGTAAAAATATGGGCGCTCTTCCCATATACCCGATGCTGTTAAAAGGCCTTAAAAGGGATCTTCACTTTACTTAAATGACTGTTGATTTTCTGTGACTCTGGACATGCAGCTGTGATGATGAGATATTTTATTCCCAGACCCAGAAACTTTGTCACCGATGTGACAGCCCAGCAGATGAACACAGTTTTAGGAAATGTCCTTAAACTGATTCTCAGCAATATCGGCACAGAAGATGCTCCATGGATGAACAGAATTGCCAGTAAGTCTGCCTCTTTAGTATTTTCTTTCTCTATTCATATGTGTTTGTCTTTATAAAAAAAAAGCTTACTACCAAAGTTTTGTTTAACTCTCTGGAGACGACGCAGCCAAAATATCAACCCAACCCAAAGTAGCCGGAAGGACGGCTGGGCCGATCGGTCGGTAAGTTCTTGCACCAGCCAATCAGACTGCTTTTTGCATTTCTTGCACATTGTGCTGTTTTTTACGGCTTTCGAGAAAGTTTGATGTGTTCGGTAATTTGAAATAAATTTTTTTCTGGGGTTACCTGTTGCCCAAAAAATTGCGAAAAAAGACTGTTTCATCATAGCAACTGAAACATGGATGGAGGCAGAAAAATGAGTTGAACCATGTGCCAGACATATCTGAAAATCTTCCAAGGGCCTTACTTCCAAAAATACCAGTTTTTTTTTTTTTATATTTTTTTAAGCTTCATTCATTTAAAAAAAAATCACCCAAATTTTTCAGGATAGTTATGTCTGTTTCCAAGTGTTTTTTTTTTATTGCTTGCATAAATTATGCTAATCAGAATAGTTAATTTGAATAAATTTTGAGATTTCAGTTTGATTCATAAATATTCTGTTAGTTCATTCAATTTGCTACATGAATATGTATAGTTTTGTATATGTTAGTTAAACGCTTTATTTTTTATAATTTTTTGTGTATAAACTATGAGAATCCCCTTCTGAAGGCTCTGTCTTCTTGGTACCGAAGCTCAAAAAAAAAAAAAAAAAGGCTCCATCTCCAAAGGGTTAATAATATTTTATTTCTGCTTTTGCTTCTTCATTGTTTATCTGTGTGACATAATTCAATTTCACTTGTTTACAGCATAGCGACTAGATTTGAACAGCCAGTGTGATGCTGACCACTTCTCCAATTACTTTCAGGACAAACCCTGTATAAATTTATCTTCATTTCTTTGACACTGTTCTTGATTATGTCATTCCATCATTTTTGCATGGTCTAACCCTTGCTCTGCTTGCAATATATTTCTCCAGTAGTGCTTTCTGTGGCTGTTTGTACCAGGGCATTCTTGTTTGATGGCTTTACCATCTCATCTGTCGCTTTGAATGAAGGTTATGACTGGTTTCTGTGGTAATTAGAATACCCACATACTAGAGCACATTGATTGCCATAGTTGATATGTTGTTTTAAAACAACGTGCGTGGAAACTAAAATTCCTTTGCTGTTTCTTCAGCTCGGACACAACCAATTATCTGCAACTCCAAGCCTGATATGATTAAAGATCACTTCCTGCCAATTGCTGCCAAGTTGAGAGAGAATGCAGGCATTGTGGAAAACATGGAGAAAAGACTTGCTCAAGAGAAAAGATCTTCCATGGAGGGCAATGAAGATTACGAACAGTTTGTGCAGCAGGTAAGACCCTAGATTTGACATTGTAAGCAGTTTGTGCACAGGTAAAAAGTAGAATGCGACATCATGTGGAGTGGCAAGCATAACTTCAGAGGACCCGGGTAGCTAGCGTCCTTAGGATATTTTCTCCAGTGCATATCAGTGTGCTGGGAAACAAACAGGCAGATAGACTGGCCTGTTCTGCACTTAGTGGTGAATTGATACATAAAAAGCTAGATGTTGTAAGGGCCTTTTCTGGGTGGGTAAAAAGTGCAGAGGCACAGATGGATCATCGTGATCTGAGAAGAATTTTGCTGTGAGGAGGAACCAAGGGATCTGGCTAGTGATCAACACTCAGGGAAAATGCACGACAGATATACAATCAGACTGTTTCTGGTGCCATCAGAATTTGAACTCAGCGCTTGCTGTTGAAGATGGGAATTTAGTGCTTATGGTAATGTTCTGAGGCTGTAGTACCAATTCTTAATTAAACATTCAACAAACATTAACTCTTTGAGTCCCAAGGAACGCATCATACCTTCATAGATTCCTACCTAGAGACCCATTGAACGCATAATGTGCCGATTTTACGTCTCTCTTGACTAACTCTTGGGCCTGTGATGCTAAACCCCCTGGGACTCAAAGAGTTAAGAAATGTGTGTGGCCAGTTGATTGATTAAAAATGCATTGTAATGATCAGTGCGACTATCAGGAATGGGCCATCATGGACAGGAGAGACATCATCAATGTCATATGAGAGACTAAACGTTGTGGGGCTTAAAGTTTCACGGACAATGATTTTTCACTGAATAGACTGCATACCCTGGGTGTACCAATTGGGGGCCGCGACACTGGAAAAACCACATGGAAGCCATCCATTGTTACATCAACCAGAACAGAATGGGAGTTGTTACCCTAAAAAGACACTTAGAGACATACTCAGGAGGAGATCAGAGCACATATGGTCATGTCCGATGAAGAGGTCCTTTAAAATTAACAATGAACAAAATGGTATTTGTACCTGATTAGTTTGACTAGTTTAAATTTTGTTGTCATCGTTTTCTTTCTCTTTTTAATTTACATTTGTATACAGAAATTTAGCATCCTGGTTAGAGACATATATGCCTTCTACCCATTGCTGATCAAGTATGTTGACCTTCATCGCTCTCACTGGCTGAAGAACCCAACACCTGAAGCAGAACAACTCTTTGCCTGTGTTGCTGAGATCTTTTCTATGTGGTCTCAGTCACTGGTAAGCATTGTTTGATTTCTTTTTGTTGAAATTATCTTTTACTCTAATGCGGCAGAGTGGCAAGCTTCACTGGGAAGGTCACGGGTAGTGAGCATACTTTTGATCTTTTCTCCAGGCTATGTCGGTGTAGTGGGTAATGAACAGGCAGACATATTGGCTGGATCTGCACCACTATGTAGTGAATTGATACATGAAAAGGGAGATGTGGTCAAGGCCCTTTGGGAACAAGCAATGGAATTAGCAGAGAAACAAGATTATTATTGCCTGGAGAGAATGAGGCACCTGGGTGTAACCAGAGGTCTGGTCTCTACACTCAAAGGAAAGGCAAGACGGACATATAACCAGATTGTTACCAGTACCATCAGTATTGGAACTCTGCACTAGCTGCTGAAGATGAGGACAGAGCACACATGGGAATGCCCTGGGTGCTGTGATGTTAATTCTTGATTCAACTGAACTCAATTCAAATACACCGTTCCCAAACAAGGAACTATATGTACTGAATATTACTTATATGTGCCAGTCAACATGTTTTGTATGTTTGCACATCATAAGTTTAGTCAGAGATTTGCCTTGATGTAGCAGCTAGATGCCCACCTGCGAATCAGATGGTCTTTGGTTCAGGTCCTGGTGTAGCAGGATTTTTTCTTTCTCTTATTTTCTTTTCCCCCCAAAAAAAACCTTGGCTCCCAGGTTGACCCAGTCTTAAATAGGTACCAGGTAAAGTCCTGGGAAGTAAAGGTGTGATGTGTTGACCATTTCACCCACTAAGTGCTTATTGGTCTGTAAAATATAGGTCCAGCCCTATGTGCCTAATGCAGTTTACTTAAAGATTAGGTAAGCAAGCAGACTAAATCTCCACAAGTGATCCACATTGTGCTGTGCATTGGGACCCTGTGGATAAAGTATACCCATGACTGTCTTCATTATTGCTTCAAGCCACTGGGATCTTCTGTGATTGAAAGATAGATAAGATTCAAGTTGAGAGAACCCACTTCATTGCACACTGTTTTATTCTCTATGGCTATCTCTCTCTCTTTATCTCTCTCTGTCTTCTGAGTGACACACAAAGCACAAACTCTGTAGCTCTAGCAATGATTCCTGATGATTTCCATAAAAGTTGCACTCAGTAATCAAATGACAGAGCCCGTGAAACAAACTGATGACCTTCAGAGCACAAGGAAAATGGCTTAACTGAATAACCATGTAGCCATAGAGACCCCCTTTTTACAGTGTGTAAAAATCATCATCACCCTGACAGTGAGTGGGTGATCATGCTTCTCTGGATCTTGTGATCTCCAGTATTATATATCAGTTATGTGCTGACATGTCTTCAATCTTATCTTTTGGTTTCCTCTATCACTTCCCATAATCTTTCCATTTGTCACAAACAGTTTCTTTTTTTTTCCCCAAGTTTTCCTTCTCATATTGTGGCCATAAAGAACACAAGAGAAGACTAACCACCTGTGAAATGAGATGTTTGAGAATGGCTGCGAATAAAACCAGAAGAGATCGAGTGAGAAACGATGTGATTACAAGAACTATTGGAACCATACCCATCGTTAAATTTATTGAGAAGCAAAGAATGAAATGGTTTGGTCACCTAATGAGAATGGAACCAACGATGCCAGCATCAAGAGCATACAACATGAAAATCGAAACACCCAGAGGCAGGGGAAGACCAAGAAGAAGATGGATTGAAGGAGTCACGGACAACTTGAGACTTCATAACATCACGGCATATGAAGCGACTGAGCGCACCCTGGCTCGGTTGCCGATCATCTGATAGACTGCGACGCTTAGCGGCACAAGCAGATTTTGACAAAAGAAGAAGATATTGTGGCCATAATGTGATTTGTACATTGTGTAAAAATGTCACTACTTTTAGGCTGCTGCACTTTTTGAGGTCAGATAGAGACGACTCACTGCACTTAATGTGTGTTGTAAAAGGTAAATGATTGAGGATTGCTGAAACTGGGTGTTCTGGGCCAAAAGATGCATATATCATAGCCTGGCGTAAGCGCCAACAAAACATGCCAACCACCCACCTAAGGGCCAATAAAAAAAGAATAATAAAAATAATATATGTTTTTTCAGAGAGCCACTGTGGTCTAGCACCTAGGCGCTCGCTGTGGATCGGAAGGTCATGGGTTCGGTTCCTGATAAGGCCCTGATTTTTTTTAAACAACATTGTCTTCCAGGTTGACCCAGCCTCGAGTGGGTATCATGTACAGTCCTGTGAAGTAAAGGTGGCGGGCGTTATGCTGACCATATCACCCACCAAGTGCCGTTTGATCTATAAAATATAGGTCTAGCCCTAGAAACCCCTTGCGCCTGAAAGGCATGGAAAAGGGTCCTTTACTTTTTTTTATGTTTTC